CGGCCAGGAGGAAGAGGAGCACAGATAATAACAGGAAGTGAACGGCCAGGAGGAAGAAGTGCGGCAACGGGAGGCTGAAGATGGAAAAATCCACCTCAGAGCTCCAGATTGTAATGTTGGTAGTGTAGTGCATGTAGCTTTTAAATCCCCTCATCATTCCCATCATTGATTCCCAGTGATGTTGGAATACAGTTGACTACTTTGCAGTGAGGATCATCTCAAAAGTTTTTTATTTCAGTAAGTTACCAAAAAATTTATACCTTTTCATTTTGGGTTCTAATCAAAGAGGAATTCCAGTGTGGCCTGCTAGTCTAGGGCTCCTATCCTCTCATATGTTTAAGAACTTCCCTATTGCTCTTTTAGGGTCATTAAATCAGCAAAACAACCAAACAAACCAACCCAACAACAACCAAAAGAAGAAAGTTGTTTCCAAACGCTGTCCTCCCTTCCTGTCACGCATCTGTCAGTTTGTTGTACTGTGGTGGCTTATGCGTTGCTGTGATACTGGAAGCTTTGCCACCGGTATTTTAAATACCAGCAGGGTCACCCTTGGTGGATAGGTTTCAGCGGCGCTCCCAGACTAAGACAGACTAGGAAGAAGGACCTACCAGTCTACTTCTGAAAATATTGGCCAGTGGAAACCTTATGAATAGCAGCAGAACATTGTCTGATACAGGGCTGCAAGATGAACCCCTCATGTCAGAAGGCACTCAAAATATGACTGGGGAAGAGCTGCCTCCTCAAAGCAGAGTTGAGCTTAATGACGTGGATGGAGTCAAGCTTTCAGGACCTTCATTGTTGATGTGGCACAACTCAAAATGAGAAGAAACAGCTGCAAACATCCATTAATCGGAATGTGGAATGTACAAAATATGAATCTAGGAAAAGTGGAAGTCGTCAAAAATGAAACGGAATGCATAAAGATGAGTATCGTAGGCATTAGTGAGCTGAAATGGACTGGTATTGGCCTTTTGGAATCAGACAGTCATATGGTCTACTGTGCTGGGAAGGAAAAATTGAAGAGGCATGGCGTCACACTCATCATCAAAAAGAACATTTCAAGATCTATCCTGAAGTACAGTGCTGTCAGTGATAGGATAATATCCATACAGCTACAAGGAAGCCCAGTTAATCAACTATTATTCAAACTTACACATCAACCACTAATGCCAGAGATGAGGAAATTGAAGATTTTTACCAACTTCTGCAGTCTGAAATCAAGCAAACATGCAATCAAGATGCATTGATAATTACTGGTGACTGGAATGCAAACACTGGAAACGAAGAAGGGTCAGCAGTTGGAAAATACGGCCTTGGTGATAGAAACAACACCAGAGATCCAATGCTAGAATTTTGCAAGACCGATGACTTATTCATTGCAAATATCTTTTTTCAACCACATAAATGGCAGCTATACACATGGACCTCACCAAATGGAAAACAGGAATCAGGGAAGGACAACACACAATAGAGGAGAAGTCAGCACAACTGGACCAAAGCAAAACTAAGAAGTTTCCTGGACACATCCAAACACTTTGAGGGACAGAGTAGCTGGGGCCTGGGGACCATAGTTTTGGGGGACATCTAGGTCAATTGGCTGAACATCTTATCTTTGCATAGAGCCTTTATGAAATGCTTAGGGTGCTCACAGGTGCAAAAATTACAGTGTGTTATTAGGCAATATAGGATTCAGTGGAAAGAGACCTTCTTTAGCTGCTACCTTGCTTTGTGATTTTGGACACGTCACTATCCCTCTTGAATTGTTCATTGTTGTATCTCAGCATTAAGCACATAGGCACACAATAAATGTTTGTTGAATGAGTAAATAAATAGGCATCAAGTTTCCTCATCTGTAATTTGAGGGATTTGAATTAGACCTGTAAATTCCTTTCCAGATCTAAAATTTTCTTGTAGTTTTAACTCAGTCCTGTTATTTCTTACCCTTAATGGTTGGTGTCAATTTTTCCATTTTTACTTCTTTGTGTTCTTTTTGCTGTTCCCCATTGGAAGACAAAGTATTGTTTTACTCTTCTTTAGGGCCTTAGATTCTGTTTGCATGTATCTCCTTTCAAGTGTAAGGTTTTGTGTTTCATAATTTTCACATCCACTAAATTAAACATGAGTACGGACTTTGTGCAAAACAAATCCTTGCTGCCCAGGGTTGCCAAGAAGTCCTGAGCATCCACGAGCATCCACCCCAGGGTGGATCTCTAGCTCCAGAGTTGTTTTCCAGCATTTCTTTGGGAGTTGAAACCTCAGTACTCACCACAGGTCTGGTCACCATTTTGAACAGATTCAGGATTTTACCTAACCTGCCCATAGTGGTAAGTTCTCTAAATGTTTTTCCCTTTTGTTTTCTCTTGACAGGTAAGAAGCAGCAGCCAGACAGCAAGTACTACCAACTTTTCAGTAGTTGGAAGGGTCCCAGGGGCTGGTGAGGAAGGTCAATAATGATAAGGAGACCTTTTCCATTTATGCAGTCACTCAGACTTCCAAGAAGTCGTTTTTTTTTTTTTTTTAGTGCTCAACTAAAGATTCTTTTGTTTAAAAAATCTGTTACTGAACTTAAAAGAAAAAATTTAAACAATTACTATCACTTTTGTTTATTATTTTTCAGGTCACATATAGCCCTATTTTTGCATGATTACATCGTGTATGTCCGGTCTTGTACTTAAACCAAACAAAAATTCTGCTAAGCACTAATCTCAGGGGACACCATAGAAGCTTGAGGCTGAGTCCTTTAATTCAGTTCAAGGAGTATTTCGATACAGGACCTAGTTGTACGGTGCTCTTCTTTTAAAACATTAGGTATGACTATAGTTACCATTTAAGGTCGCTTGTTTCTTAATTTGTAAGCTATATGAGAATATCCAGTTGGAAAAGATGTTTTATTATTCAGGAGAACTTGAAGGTGACTTCGGCAAGATACAGATGTTGCCTATAAATCATGGATATTATTTTGAATATTCTTGAAAAAAATTGGTTATGAACATTAAAAGAGCTATTTTAGGGGGAAAAAAAATGCCCACGATAGCACCAACCATGTGAGGAGCTGCTGTGTATTTTAGTTGCAGTAGGCTCTGAATTTGGGCTCTGAAGTCAAATTACCTCAGCTTAACTGGCTCCATCATTTACTAATTGTGTGATATTGGGAAAGTGATTTAACCTCTCCGAAACCTAGATTCATCCTGTGTGAAATGGGGTTAGTTTGAAGATTAAATGAGATAAAACGTAAAGTGTTCAGAACAGTGCAGGGAATAATAGGCGTGCAATAAAAGTTAGCAATTACTAATATCCTTACATTTCAGATGAGGAAGCAAGAGGTTAAAGATTTCCCAAGCTCACCAGTTGGTAAGTGGGCTTTATCTAGTGCAGACCCTGTTGACTACTTCCTACAGTGCTTCTCCCACAAACACTAAAAAGCCTGAACATTCATATATCCAGAATCAACACATTGCCGTACATCTCTTCAAACCTATCCACCTTCCCACTACCTCTGTTGGCATGATCTGGGGACTTGCCCCTATCCTTTCGAACACTCCTTAGAGAGAAGGGGCAGAGTAGTCCAGAGAAATCAATTTTAGTAGTACTGGTTTTGGGGACCTGATGTCTCTTATAATTTTGTAGCTTCAGGCGTTGTAAAACTAAAGGTCTTTCTAAAAAGGTCTACTGATGTTATCTTTCTAAAATGATGAGGAAAATGCTTTATTAAAACCCTTCGCAGGGGGTGGGGGATCTAAAACCCTTTGTTGACCTTGTATGGACTTCAAGATAATCTTTGGCTCCTGACCACAGTCCCTCCAGACTCACCTTTTGACAATTCCTTCCCACATACATCTTGAATTGTTGGCAGTTCCCCACTGAAAACTCTGCACATTCTTTCACTTCTGGGCCTTTCAAATACTTCTTCCTCTCAACACACCACTCCACCCCATCCGTTTCCCTAGTCTACCTCTTACATCTTTTTCAGGACTTAATATTAGACTTCATCTTCTACAGAAATCTTCCAGATGCTTTCAAGATTTGGCTAAGAGCTTCTCCTTTGTCCTCTTTCATGCCTATGCTTATACTTTTATAGAATTTCATTTTATCACATTCCTTATTTACTTCTCCAACTTCCCTCTCTGGACCCTAAGCTCCTTAGACTGTAAGACACTGGTAATAAAACCGTACTGTCCTCAGGGAGGGGTGGAGGAACCATAGTCTCTCCTCCAAAACACGTCAGGGGTGGCTGCCACACACAGATGGCTTCATCATGTACCGTTGGGACCCCAACTCTAAATCATTAGTCAAGGACAGAGATCAGAGACCCATAGTGAATTAAGCTTCTACATCTTAGGGAACCACAAAGATCCTAGCCATACTTGGGGACCGGGGTGGGAACACTACACAAAAAACAGGAGCCCTGTGACCATCTCCTATCTCAGGTGTGCACATACTCATTGAGTAAAGAATACACTGTGAAGCACTTGTACTACAGAGTATGGATTTAATTGTGCCCCCCACCCCCCACACATATGTGTTGGAATCTTAACCCCTATACATGTGGATGTATCCTATTTGGATACAGGGTTTTCTTTGTTATGTTAGTGAGGTCAGTCAATTTAGAGTGTGTCCTAAACCTAATCACTTCTGAGTTATAAGGAGCAGCATAGACACAGAGACAAGCAAGCACAAATGGGCTAAGATAGAGGCCACGCCACATGAAGATCGCTGAGGAATGCTGGAAGAGACATAGATCTTCCCCTAGAGCCAACAGAGAGAGAACCTTCCCCTACAGCTGGTGCTTTGAATTTGGACTCCTAGCCTTCTGAATGGTGAGAAAATAAATTTTTTTTTTTTTTAAAGCCAACCA